CCTGAGTTTTGGGGTGAGATCCCTGAGTTTTAGGATGGGATCCCCAGGTTTGAGGTGAGATCCCCGGATTTTGGGGTGAAATCCCCATTTTTAAGGTGAAATCCCCATTTTTGAGGTGAAATCCCCATTTTTGCGGTGAAATCCCCATTTTTGAGGTGAAATCCCCATTTTTGAGGTGAAATCCCCGGGTTTTGAGGTGAAATCCCCATTTTTGAGGTGAAATCCCCATTTTTGTGGTGAAATCCCCGGGTTTCGAGGTGAAATCCCCATTTCTGAGGTGAAATCCCCATTTTTGAGGTGAGATCCCCATTTTTGAGGTGAAATCCCCATTTTTGTGGTGAAATCCCTGGTTTTGGGGTGGGATCCCCAGGTTTGGGATGGCATCCCCAGTTTTGGGGTGAGATCCTGGATTTTTGAGGTGAAATCCCCATTTTTGAGGTGAAATCCCCGAGTTTTAGGATGGGATCCCCGGGTTTTGAGGTGAAATCCCCATTTTTGAGGTGAAATCCCCATTTTTGAGGTGAAATCCCCGAGTTTTTGATGTCCCCAGCCCTGGGACCAGCCCCAAAATCCCGAATTCCCGGCAGGATCGTGCTGGTGGAGAGCATCCCGGAGGGAATGAGCGTCACCGGCCCCACCAACCCGTCCACCTTCCAGGCGTGGCTGGAGCTGCTGAGCTCGGCCACGCGCAGCGTGGACATCGCCTCCTTCTACTGGACACTGACCAACGCCGACACGCGGACGCACGAGCCCAGCGCGGCGCAGGTGCGGAGCGCTTCCCGCTTTTCCCCGGGTTTTTTCCCGTTTTCCCCAATTTTTTCCCCATTTTTTCCCTTTTTTTTCCCAATTTTTCCCCATTTTTTCCCCATTTTTCCCAATTTTTTCCCAATTTTACTCCATTTTTTCCCATTTTTTCCCATTTTTCCCGATTCTTTTCCCCATTTTTTCCCCCATTTTTCCCAATTTTTCCTCATTTTTTCCCATTTTTTCCCATTTTTTCCCCATTTTTCCCAATTTTTTTCCCCATTTTTTCCCAGGTTTTTTCCCCCAGTTTTCCCAATTTTTTCCCCATTTTTCCCATTTTTTTCCCCATTTTTCCCATTATTTCCCCCCGTTTTTCCCTTTTTTTCCCATTTTTCCCAATTTTTCCCCATTTTTCCCGTTTTTTCCCCCATTTTTTCCCATTTTTTCCCCATTTTTTCCCAATGTTTTCCCCATTTTTCCCATTTTTTCCAATTTTTTCCCCATTTTTTCCCATTTTTTCCCCATTTTTTCCCATTTTTTCCCCCATTTTTTCCCAATTTTTTCCCCATTTTTCCCAATTTTTCTCCCATTTTTCCCATTTTTTTCCCATTTTTCCCATTTTTTCCCCATTTTTTCCCATTTTTTTCCCCATTTTTTCCCATTTTTTCCCCCAGTTTTCCCAATTTTTTCCCCATTTTTTCCCATTTTTCCCAATTTTTTCCCCATTTTCCCCCCATTTTTCCTATTTTTTCCCATTTTTCCCAATTTTTTCCCCATTTTTCCCATTTTTTTCCCATTTTTCCCCAATTTTTTCCCCATTTTTCCCATTTTTTCCCCATTTTTTCCCGTTTTTTCTCTCAGCTTTCCCAGTTTTTTCCCCATTTTTCCCATTTTTTTTCCCATTTTTTTGCCAGGTTTTTTCTTGTTTTTCCCATTTTATTTTCCATTTTTTTTCCTGTTTTTCCCGTGTTTTTTTTCCTGTTTTTCCTGGTTTTTTTCTCATTTTTCCTGTATTTTTCCCATTTTTTTCCCGTTTTTTGTCATGTTTTTTTCCTGTTTTCCCCCCGTTTTTTCCCCGCTTTTCCCAGATTTTGTTGTGTTTTTTCCCATTTTTCCCATTTTTTTCCCATTTTTTTCCCGTTTTTTGTCATGTTTTTTTCCTGTTTTCCCCCCGTTTTTTCCCCGCTTTTCCCAGATTTTGTTGTGTTTTTTCCCATTTTTCCCATTTTTTTCCCATTTTTCTCGGTTTTTTTCCCGGTTTTCCCGTTTTTTCCCCATTTTTTTCCCATTTTTCCCATTTTCCCCCCACTTTTCCCATTTTTTCCCCATTTTCCCCATTCTTTCGGTCACTTTTTGCCTTTCCCCCCCCAGGGCGAGCGCATCCTGGCCGAGCTGCTGCGGCTGCCGCGGCGCGGCGTGGCCGTGCGCGTGGCGGTCAGCGCCCCCTCGGCCAAAGCCCCGCTGGACGATCTGCGGGTGCTGGAGCGCGCCGGTGAGCGCGGTGACGGTGACGGTGACGGTGACGGTGACGGTGACGGTGACGGGGATTTGGGGCTGGGGTCTCTCCGGGGGTCTCTCTCTCTCTCTCGGGGTGGGTGACGGTTGCCGCGGCGTGGCCGTGCGCGTGGCGGTCAGCGCCCCCTCGGCCAAAGCGCCGCTGGACGATCTGCGGGCGCTGGAGCGCGCCGGTGAGCGCGGTGACGGTGACGGTGACGGTGACGGTGACGGTGACGGTGACGGTGACGGTGACGGTGACGGTGACGGTGACGGTGACGGTGACGGTGACGGTGACGGTGACGGTGACGGTGACGGTGACGGTGACGGGGATTTGGGGCTGGGGTCTCTCCGGGCGGGGGTCTCTCTCTCTCCGGGGGTCTGACGGGCGCTGTCGGCGCCGCAGGGGCGGCGGTGCGCGCCGTGGACATGCCGCGCCTCACCGGCGGCGTGCTGCACACCAAGTTCTGGCTGGTGGACGGCGTCCATCTCTACCTGGGCAGCGCCAACATGGACTGGAGGGCCTTGACACAGGTGAGGGGAACACCTGGGGTGGGGATGGAGCACCTGGGAACACCTGGGGTGGGTGTGGGAACACCTGGGGTCAGTCTGGGAACACCTGGGGTGGATGTGGGAACACCCGGCGTGGGTGTGGGACCACCTGGGGTGGGTGTGGGAACACCTGGGGTCAGTCTGGGAACACCTGGGGTGGATGTGGGAACACCCGGCGTGGGTGTGGGACCACCTGGGGTGGGTGTGGGAACACCTGGGGTCAGTCTGGGAACACCTGGGGTGGATGTGGGAACACCCGGCGTGGGTGTGGGACCACCTGGGGTGGGTGTGGGAACACCTGGGGTCAGTCTGGGAACACCTGGGGTGGATGTGGGAACACCCGGCGTGGGTGTGGGACCACCTGGGGTGGGTGTGGGAACACCTGGGGTCAGTCTGGGAACACCTGGGGTGGATGTGGGAACACCCGGCGTGGGTGTGGGACCACCTGGGGTGGGTGTGGGAACACCTGGGGTCAGTCTGGGAACACCTGGGGTGGATGTGGGAACACCCGGCGTGGGTGTGGGACCACCTGGGGTGGGTGTGGGAACACCTGGGGTCAGTCTGGGAACACCTGGGGTGGATGTGGGAACACCCGGCGTGGGTGTGGGACCACCTGGGGTGGGTGTGGGAACACCTGGGGACGGTGTCAGACCCAATGGGATTGGTGCCAAACCCAGTGGGATTGGTGCTGAACTCAATGGGATCAGTGCCAGATCCAATGGGATCGGTGCCAAACCCAATGGATGACCCCAAACCCAACGGGATCGGTGCCAAACCCAACGGGATCGGTGCCAAACCCAATGGATGACCCCAAACCCAACGGGATCAGTGCCAGATCCAATGGGATCGGTGCCAAACCCAATGGATGACCCCAAACCCAACGGGATCGGTGCCAAACCCAACGGGATCGGTGCCAAACCCAATGGATGACCCCAAACCCAACGGGATCAGTGCCAGATCCAATGGGATCGGTGCCAAACCCAATGGATGACCCCAAACCCAACGGGATCGGTGCCAAACCCAACGGGATCGGTGCCAAACCCAATGGATGACCCCAAACCCAACGGGATCAGTGCCAGATCCAATGGGATCGGTGCCAAACCCAATGGATGACCCCAAACCCAACGGGATCGGTGCCAAACCCAACGGGATCGGTGCCAAACCCAATGGATGACCCCAAACCCAACGGGATCAGTGCCAGATCCAATGGGATCGGTGCCAAACCCAATGGATGACCCCAAACCCAACGGGATCGGTGCCAAACCCAACGGGATCGGTGCCAAACCCAATGGATGACCCCAAACCCAACGGGATCAGTGCCAGATCCAATGGGATCGGTGCCAAACCCAATGGATGACCCCAAACCCAACGGGATCGGTGCCAAACCCAACGGGATCGGTGCCAAACCCAATGGATGACCCCAAACCCAACGGGATCAGTGCCAGATCCAATGGGATCGGTGCCAAACCCAATGGATGACCCCAAACCCAACGGGATCGGTGCCAAACCCAACGGGATCGGTGCCAAACCCAATGGATGACCCCAAACCCAACGGGATCAGTGCCAGATCCAATGGGATCGGTGCCAAACCCAATGGATGACCCCAAACCCAACGGGATCGGTGCCAAACCCAACGGGATCGGTGCCAAACCCAATGGATGACCCCAAACCCAACGGGATCAGTGCCAGATCCAATGGGATCGGTGCCAAACCCAATGGATGACCCCAAACCCAACGGGATCGGTGCCAAACCCAACGGGATCGGTGCCAAACCCAATGGATGACCCCAAACCCAACGGGATCAGTGCCAGATCCAATGGGATCGGTGCCAAACCCAATGGATGACCCCAAACCCAACGGGATCGGTGCCAAACCCAACGGGATCGGTGCCAAACCCAATGGATGACCCCAAACCCAACGGGATCAGTGCCAGATCCAATGGGATCGGTGCCAAACCCAATGGATGACCCCAAACCCAACGGGATCGGTGCCAAACCCAACGGGATCGGTGCCAAACCCAATGGATGACCCCAAACCCAACGGGATCAGTGCCAGATCCAATGGGATCGGTGCCAAACCCAATGGATGACCCCAAACCCAACGGGATCGGTGCCAAACCCAACGGGATCGGTGCCAAACCCAATGGATGACCCCAAACCCAACGGGATCAGTGCCAGATCCAATGGGATCGGTGCCAAACCCAATGGATGACCCCAAACCCAACGGGATCGGTGCCAAACCCAACGGGATCGGTGCCAAACCCAATGGATGACCCCAAACCCAACGGGATCAGTGCCAGATCCAATGGGATCGGTGCCAAACCCAATGGATGACCCCAAACCCAACGGGATCGGTGCCAAACCCAACGGGATCGGTGCCAAACCCAATGGATGACCCCAAACCCAACGGGATCAGTGCCAGATCCAATGGGATCGGTGCCAAACCCAATGGATGACCCCAAACCCAACGGGATCGGTGCCAAACCCAACGGGATCGGTGCCAAACCCAATGGATGACCCCAAACCCAACGGGATCAGTGCCAGATCCAATGGGATCGGTGCCAAACCCAATGGATGACCCCAAACCCAACGGGATCGGTGCCAAACCCAACGGGATCGGTGCCAAACCCAATGGATGACCCCAAACCCAACGGGATCAGTGCCAGATCCAATGGGATCGGTGCCAAACCCAATGGATGACCCCAAACCCAACGGGATCGGTGCCAAACCCAACGGGATCGGTGCCAAACCCAATGGATGACCCCAAACCCAACGGGATCAGTGCCAGATCCAATGGGATCGGTGCCAAACCCAATGGATGACCCCAAACCCAACGGGATCGGTGCCAAACCCAACGGGATCGGTGCCAAACCCAATGGATGACCCCAAACCCAACGGGATCAGTGCCAGATCCAATGGGATCGGTGCCAAACCCAATGGATGACCCCAAACCCAACGGGATCGGTGCCAAACCCAACGGGATCGGTGCCAAACCCAATGGATGACCCCAAACCCAACGGGATCAGTGCCAGATCCAATGGGATCGGTGCCAAACCCAATGGATGACCCCAAACCCAACGGGATCGGTGCCAAACCCAACGGGATCGGTGCCAAACCCAATGGATGACCCCAAACCCAACGGGATCGGTGCCAGACCCAATGGGATCGGTGCCAAACCCAATGGATGACCCCAAACCCAACGGGATCGGTGCCAAACCCAATGGATGACCCCAAACCCAACGGGATCGGTGCCAAACCCAGTGAAGTTCACCCCAAACCCAACCCAAACCTCCCCGGTCGGCACCGAACCCAACAGAACCGGCACCGACCCAACCCAACCCCGGCACCGGGGCTCTCCCAACCTCCGGTCCCTGCGGAGAGCCACCGGTGCCATCCGGTGACTCTCCGGTGCCATCTGGTGACTCCCGGTGCCATCCGGTGACTCCCGGTGCCATCGGTGACTCTCCGGTGCCATCGGTGACTCTCCGGTGACTCTCCGGTGCCATCGGTGACTCTCCGGTGACTCCGGTGCCATCGGTGACTCTCCGGTGCCATCGGTGACTCTCCGGTGACTCCGGTGACTCTCCGGTGAGTCTCCGGCGCCGTTTGCCGCAGGTGAAGGAGCTCGGTGCCGCCATCTACAACTGCAGCTGCCTGGCCGAGGATTTGGGTAAAATCTTCGAGGCCTACTGGGCTCTGGGCGTGCCGGGCGCCGCCGTCCCGGCGCCGTGGCCGGACAATTTCTCCACCGCCATCAACGCCGACACCCCGCTGCAGCTGGAGCTCAACGGCAGTGCCGCCGCCGTCTTCTTCTCGGTACGCCGC